CCCCCGAGAACAGCGGAATATTGGAATGAACTTCAGAGACCAAGGCACGCGCACGACGCAAGAAGATCTCACTGCGAATCTGTGTCGGCGACTTGTCGGGCCCCAGGAGAACGCGGCATCTCTCCGACCCAGGGACATCGACCAGGAATTCGTTCCACGCGCCGTTGAAACGAAGTGACGGCAAGACTTCGGCAGCCATCCGAGGCGCAGGGTCGACCAGCCCCTTGAACTTGGCATGGGGCTTCTTTGTAGGCACCTGACCGACAGCCCCGATGGAGAACGCGTCGGCGGTGAAACCGAAAGAGGTGATCCATGGCACGAGGACCGTAGCGATGGAGCTGGATGTCGGCAGTTGGGCGAGGGCAACGACAAAGGCAGCGTCAATGTCACGACCAAATCCTGTCCTGGACCACTGGCGCACGAGGTCGACACTGGGCCAAGCACGGGGACTTCTTGAACTCCAACATCTGCTCACGCATCGCAGCCATCTCCTCCTCAATATGAAAGGCGCGCGTGCAAGTATTCTCCATCTGATTATGGTGCTACCGGGCGGGGACTGCAAACGCCGCGCCGATGAACCAACCTGAGGGCGCACCGTCGCAGGAATCTGCTGGTCGATCTGCGCGGGCTGCTGGGCCAACTGCGCACGCAGCTGGTCGACCACGGCTAGGACAAACTTATTCGACTCGGACAGGTTGGAGGTGATCGTCTCCGCGGGAGACTTCCCGAGGTCCTGGTACAGCACCTCGAACACCTGGTCCAGCATAAGGCGGAAGTCACCTACACTGAACTGTCTGATCAAAGCCTCGAACGCATGATCTGCATCGCCGAGGTCTGGTGGGAGGTCCTCACCATCAGGCACACCAGCCGGTGGGACGGCCCGACGCTTGAGAGCAGGGGGAACAAGAACACCAGGGCGAGGAGGAGCAACACCTTTGCCAGATCGGATAGCACCCTTGGAGGACACGGCGACGTCCATGGCCTCCTGAATGGAGAAGGTGGCGGCCTCGTCATGATCACTGATGAACTTGGCGATAACCTCGTCACTGGGCAGGCCCATCTGCGTCGCCCAGGGAATGGGCGGAGAGAGACACTGCGAGCGCGCCGGGCGCAACTGCGGTGACAGCAAGGCGGTTTTTGGCGACCCAAGAAACTGACACGTGTGGCGCAAACCTGCGAGGCAGGAGGCCTTGACCCAGACCTCACGGCAGCGACCAAGCTCAAGCCGCCGAGGCCCCGCGGTTTGAACTTGAACCAAAATCGTTACGGAAGGAGGAGGAGGAGGAGAAGGAGGAGAAAGGCGAAGAGGAGGCGAGGCAGAGAAGGACGAGGAGGCACTGGGAGGTACAGGGAGGGAGGGGGAGAGGGAGGGGAACCCGACGGATCACACGCGCCCCGTCCCCCCCAACCCCTCCTGAGCTACGGCAAGATCCGCTCAGAATGCGCGACCTGGCGGAGGGGGAGGGGAAGGCTGATACAGATGCGGAGTTGGCGTGCTTGCGTTAGGGGGGTCGGGATGGGGGAGGAGGCGTATGTTCAGGAGGAGTAAGAGGAGCTGTCCTCCTCCTCCTCCTCCTCCTCCTCCTCCTCCTCCCCCTCCTCCTCCTCCTCCTCTTGATTGTCTTCCCTCATGCTTAAGAGGGTGAGGAAGAACGGGCGGGGGAAGAGCAACAAGAAGCCATGAGGCCCTGAGAGCCCCGTAGAGCCCCCAAAGCATCGCCCTCATTGCCTGACTCCGCCTCATCGCTGGTGGCCGCAGGGCCTCCCATAGTTAGATAGCAGCGGACATCGGGGCCCTGCACGCGCAACCAACCTGCACTCCGAAAGAGGCCCGGCCCGAACTCAGGAGAGGGACGAGGCAGAGAGGGGGGACGACAAGCAAGCCGGGGCGGCGGCAAAGTGCGACATGAAGCTCTTGAAGTCCACCTGGAAGTGGGGCTCCTCCTTCAACATGTCGAATATGCGGTCCGCCACCTGGTCAGGAGGGTAACAAACACACAGACACAAATAATCGTCGAGCCCGATGGAAACATGGGAAACTATAGGAAGTGGGGGGTGGGAAGACGAACATCCAGAAGATATGTAACAGATGGGGAATCCTGGGGTGTGTGTGTATATATATATATATATATGTGTGTATCTATATATACATATATATACATACATATGTATGTGTGTGTGCCCCCTGGGCCTCGTGAGTAGGTGGATATCAGCGCGTTCTCTCTGCACCAACCCCCGTCGTCCCGTTTGGCCTGCGGACTTGCATGTGTGGCCGCGGATTTTGTGCGCGGTGGCCACCTTGAGGGGCCTGCTGGGGCTCCGCTGGCTGCATGGGGCGAACTTGGAAGAGGAGTCACAGGGGATACTCGCCGCCGACTCCCTCCCCTTCTCCCTCCTTATCTCTATTTCTCCTCTCCTCCTCCATATCAAGATTCCTCCTCATTTATACCCATCCCTCCTTACGCATACTCCTCCCTCCTTACTTGTATCCCTTCCCTTCGCCCTCCTTGTTTCTATTCCTCCTTCGCTCCCACCACTCCCCCATGTCTGTCTGCCCGTCCACCGCGTTACCCTCACACATCTGCTGGCGACCCCTGGAACGGTGCTCCAGGGGGCACCTGGCACTTGTTTGATCAACCCCCACCAGCCCTGAGGGGGGAAGCCTGCGTTGGGACGAACTCTCCAGCCAGGAGGTGCCAGGTGCCACGGGAGATCTGTCGATCCCTATCCCAGGCTCTTGGAGGCGCTCGAATGGACCTAAAATTTGGGGCCCAACCCTGGGATGTACGATGGGGGGGTGTCCATCCTCGATAGGGGTGCAACCGAATAGCCCCCTTGGGGTGCGTCCCAAGGTTTTCCCTTTCTTCTAAAAGGGCAAACTTTTCTTTTTTCCATTCAGGAGATGTGGCCCCGCAGGGCGGAAAATGCACGTTCTTCGCCTCGTGCGCCAGACGGCGCACGCCTGCAGGCGGCCTAGCCTTTATAGCTGCGGGGTGAAGCTATCATGCCCTCGATGTCCCCTTGTCCGGCCAGACGCGGTGGTTCGTCGGGGGAGGAAGGTGGAGGGAGAGGAGGGAGGCAGCGCGAGGAGACGAAGATGAGGTGGAGGGGGGGATGAAAGAAACAAGTGCTGCGGAACTGATTGGTGCTGCGCAGGCGGCGAAATGGGAACGCTGACTGCTGGGAGAGATCGGCCTGCGCGGGAGCGGTGGCACGCGGTGCCTCTGCCTGGCCTTCGCTCCTCTCCACCGCTTGATCGCTCCCAGCGCGCCCCCCTCCTCCTCCTCCTCCTCCTCCTCCTCTCCTACCTCCTCCTCCTCCTCCTCCTCCTCCTCCTCCTCCTTCCTCCTCCTCCTCCCCTCCCACCTCTCCTACTCCCTCTCCTCCCTCCCTCCCCTCTCCTGGCCCTCGTCGCGCCGTCTCCCTCCTCCCTCCTTCCTCCTCCTCCTCCTCCTCCTCCTCCCCTCCTCCTCCTCCTCCTCTCTCCTCTCTCTCCTCCTCCCCCTCCTCCTCCTCCTCCTCCTTCCTCCCTCCCTCCGTGGCCTCCTCGTCCCGTTCCTCCCCCCTCCCATTGGCCTGCACGCGAAAGCCGGGCCTCGCTGGCGCTCACACTGCTGGATCGCACGCAGTATGGGTGGCAGAGACTCCTGCCACTCCTGGAGCGTCCGCGCCCAGCGCAAGCGAAGCAGGTGTCGCGCGGACGAGCTGCGTGCTGCACCAGGTGCTGCCTCTGGGCCTGTCTGAGCAACGTACCGTACTCGGTCCCCGCCGTCGCTCCGTCCTCCCCCCTCCCGAATGGCACGCGCAAGCCTGGCCTCGCTGGCGCGTGCACTGCAGGATCGCACGCAGGATGGGTGGCGAGGACTTGCCACTCCTGGAGCGTCCGCGAACCAGAGCAAGTGACACATGTGCCGCGCGGGCGAGCTTCCCATCGTCTCGATTCCTGCCTCTGGGCCTGTCTAAGCAACGCACTACTGCTTAGCACTTTGCCACTCTCAATGGGCGCAGCCCTTCATGGAGGAGCATACAGAGAAGAAGATGGGACAAGGCGAGATGCGGGAATACTACGAGACGGATATTCTGGAGGCGACGACTGGGAGTGCTGTGGGGTCGCTGCCATGGCGCGAAGGTGATCAACACTCAATTCTTGAATTGCTGAGCGGACGCCGTCAACATATCACGAGACCTACCCACCTTGACACCTTGGTGAAGACCTACCGAGAAGTATGCCGAGGCCATACACGCATAGAGGAGCACGAGCGCAAACAAACGCAACTCCACGAACGCGACTTGGGATACAGCCTCGATCCGACGACAACACCATCGTCATCATCATTGCTACGGCCGCCCTCGGGAGGGCGTCCGGGCACGAGCAGCGTAACAGGCAGCACAAGTACGAGAACGAGCTGCGCAACAGGCAGCCCAAGTACGATAAGGAACTGCGTGACGGGCAGGCCGAGGACAGGAAGCACCACCATTGCGGCGCCAAGAAAGCCACCAAGATCGACACCAGGAGGGACACGCCCGAGCAGCCCGAAGGGGTCACGACATAACCAGACCCCCGATGTCATGATTTTTCATGACGCGACCCCCAGAAAAGTCCGGACCCATTCCCCGGGACCGGTTTTTCATCCTGACTGTTTCTTGGCGGTCCCGAGGGCCGGCGAGGTCCCCCAGGAGGCCGGAAAGAGCGCAAAACCTTCCGTCCTGATTTCTTCATGACTCGCCGGGGGTCTGGGCACGTCGTCGCGGGTGTACCGGTGGACAACGGCCGCGCCGCCACTGACGAGTGCGACTACGACGCCCATAGTGGGCACGGCGACTACAATTAGGTCGGGCCTGTCCCCTACAGGGGGATTTGGACGAAAAAACAAAAATATTTAAAACATACGCGAAAGATTCACAAAAGTACTACAAAAAATAGTCCCCTGACTTTTGTTTGACTCTTTTTGCATATTCCCCCTGTAGAGGGACAGGCCCGACTTAAGACTACGACGCCCATAGTGGGCACGGCGACCACAACTGCTGCGAGGAACGCACCGCACACGGCTTCCTCTCGCCCGGCCACCGGAGCTGCGAGGGCTGCAGGCAGAGCTGCGAGCTCCACAGGCAGAAGTTGCCAGAGCAGCCCCTGCGACGCGACGCGGGCCACCAGCAGGGCTACGCGGGCAAGAAGCATGAGGCAGCTCTTGAATTCAAAAACATGTTTTGAAACTCGAAAGCCAATTTCTTGAATTCAGAAGCGTGCGCTGCGAGGGCAACCAGCAGCGCTTCCAGAACCACCGGCTGCGCTCCGTGGGCCCCCAGCAGAGCTTCGAGTGGCGCCAGATTGGCGTCGAGGACAGTCAGCTGTGGCACCAGGGCCACCTACCGAGCCACATGCGCTGACCAAAACGATCTTCTGTATGGCGCTGGCATGCAGAACGTGGAAAACCACGACTTGGTTATGCAATCCTCCTGGATATCACAGACCTCATCCGGCTGGACAATGCCGTAAAGTTGATGATTGGAAGAAGATCGTGGACGACCACACCAAACGTACCGAGATTCCTGGGAATCGCTGTCATGTCTTATCTCCCTATCGTGATGCTCAGCGTGACAGTGAACTCGAGTTCACGCTATGGAAGAAGGTTGCGCCCAAACTCAGATACGAACAATTTAGTGCAGCCATGTGGTAAACGATGAGATCAGCAACATTGGAGGCGATATGAAGTTGGACATACTCTACATTTGGGATGTGCTGGTTTTTTATATATATATATATAGATATTGCTTTATTCACCACGGACGTGTGCCAAGGTGAACTACATCAGAGCAGAGAGGGAGTACCACGACTTGGCAGCCGAGGACTCCGACTCTGACCTCGTGGATTCCGACGTCGCGACTGAGGTACAGGTGGACGGTTTCCTCGACTACGTCCTGGGCCAGGTGTACGAGTACAGGAGAGCATCCAAGCTCCGCAGCGAAGACAAGCGGAGCTCCGACGACCAGCAGAACTACGCGAACATCCAGAAGAACCTCGAGGCCAACCAGCCGAACTACTCGCAGAGAACATGTCACGAAGTACGGCCCTCAACTGCGGTCAAGCAATAACCACAGAATTTCGAGAGCCACAGGCAAAACTATGGGACCCGTCAGCTGAGCTACCAGAGCCGCAAGCAGGGCGATGAGGGCCACAAGCAGAGATGTGACAGCCACCAGCAGAGCTACCAGGACCAACAGCAGACCTTCGAGCACCACAAGCTGAACTACGAGGATCACAGGCAAAACTACGAGAGCCACCTCCAGAGCTACGAGGCCCGCAAACTCAACTACGAGGGCCACAAGCGGGGCTAGAATGACCAACGAGGACCACACGCCGGGTCGCAAAGGCAACGCGCAGGGCTACGAGGACCACCGGCTAAGCTGCGAAAGCCGCCAGCTGAGCAGAAAGAGCCTCGAGCAGAGCTGCGTGGAACACAAGTCGAGCTACGAGAGCCTCCAGCATAATGCCACCATTTAAACTTCCAACGCAGCTACGTGTACCAAGAGCCCCAAGAGCAGAGCAGATGCAGAACCTCAAGAGCTTCGAACACAACAACGTGTACCACCTGATGAGCTACGAGTGCAGCAAGCTCAGCTACGAGGGCCGCAAGCACAGCCCCGAGAGCCTCCCGCTGAGCTACGAGAGCCACCGGCAGGGTTCCGAGGGTCACAGGCTGAGCTTGAGCCACCCGCTGAGCTGCAAGAGACGCCAGCGGAGCTACGAGAACCACAGGCTTACCTACGAGACCCTCTGGCAGAGCTACGGGGACCACCAGCGGAACAACGAGGACCACACAGCGGGGCCGCAAGGGCTTCCGGCGGACCTCCGAGGACCACGAGCTGAGCCAAGAGGACCACAGGCAAAGCTGCGAGCGCCACAAGAAAGAGCTACGACACAACCGCGAAGTGAGCTACGAGGGCCACAATCAGAGCTACGAAGACTACCGGCTGAGCCACGAGGTCCATGCGAGGGCAACCGCGTACGTCTCGTGGGGCTGCAAGCAAGGCCAGCCCTCGGCGGCCAAGAGGCGGTCCCCGGACCCTGTAACGCACAGCACATGCCGACCGATGGGTATGTATACCGATGTGGAACAGACCATATTCGCGTCAGGACAGACAGCCTGGACATCTACGGCAAATGCTCTAAGCAAAGGCTCGGCACGGTACACCAAGGCCGAGCCCAAGCTTTCGGGTACTACAACTTGCTGTTCGAGCGGTTGTACGGCGTCGCATCCGCGGAAGGCCAGCCTGGGGCCACCCAATTATTCCTCGACGTGCTTCAATACGGGCACTGTTCGATGCGATGTTCGCCCAAACGGCGCATAGTACAACACGAACATGAACACAACGGCACGACGAGACCGGTCTGCCTGAAGCCGGGTACAAGACGACGTCATGCACAACATTGCAGCATGCTGCAGACGTTCGTACTACGTCAGCAGCGATCGACAAGGTACACCGAGTACAACGTTACTAGGAAGGTACGCCCGTCCAGTGTAAGTGCATCTTTCCTGACTGAGTGGCCCGCCGCTCGTCCAACCTCGCCCCCCTCCTTGATGGCCTCAGGAGTGTTCGATGAGTGTGGGTGGCCCTGTCCTCCGCCTCTTCCCCCCCTCTGGAACGGGTCCGCCACCGACGTGCCGACGCGCCCAGGCGTGCGCGGCGGGCGCTGTGGCGACAGGGGGCGCCTAATGGTTCTGCGAGGGAGAGCAGGAGAAGAGAGGGAAGATGAGGAGAGAGAGAGAGAGGAGGAATAATGACTTAGGATTAGGTCGGGCGTGTCTTCCTACAGGTGGGTTTTGGAAGAAAATAAAACATACCCAACAAATCGTCCCCCGACTATTTTTTAGATTCCTCCTATAGAGGGACAGGCCCGACTCAAACTCAGGAGCAAACGAGGGGGCGCCTGCTCGTCCCTCCCGAAGCCCCGGAAGAAACTCTGCATCTCGGAGCGAGTGATCCGCCCGTCCCGCTTCAGGTCGAGCATGCGGAAGGCGTCGCCTCGGTCGGGCCCGGCCCCCCTTCTTTTTGCTCGTTGACAATTGTCACGTGTGCGGAGCTACAGTCAATGCCGCGCTTTCCTGTGGCTGTGCCGCGTTCCTGCTCGCAACGCGCACCGCCAGGGGCGGCGGAGAGCTTGACAGATCCACCCACAAAAAGTCCGCCGCCTGCAGGAAGACCAGATGGGTCGCGCCTGCAGCGCAAGTCTGGGGCTGTTGTCGGCGGCGAGCCCGGGGGCGGAAGCGAGAAGGGGCGGGCTTTCTCAGAAGGCTCGGAAGTCCCGCCGCCTCCTGAGAAGTCTTCGAAGCCTTCTCCAAAGACGCGGATAACTTCTCAAAGGCGCGAGGGCTTCTGAGAAGTCCCGCCGCCTTCTGAGAAAACCTTATCCTTCTCACTTCCCCCCCTCGCTCGCCGCCGCTATTACGCAGGAGTACAGAAAGATGGACTCCCACCAGCCCCCTGGGCATGAGTGGTCTAAGGAGTCCGTTCTGCTGACCCCCGCTGTTCCCCCATCGGGAATGGGTTCCCCCTCCCCCTGGGTCTGCATGGGGCTCCTCGCGAGGGGTTGAAGCCTCCAAGATGGCTACCAGATCGCTGAAGGTAGCCCAACATGTTAAGATAACATCCGCCATGCCTACAAGGACCTCCAAGCACGCTCCAAGACGGCTCCAATTGGCCCCAGAGCTTGCCAAAGAGTCCTGAGCGAGGCACACATCCGTCCATCGCTGAGGGTCCCGACCAGGGGGACGCAAATGCGCGCCGCCCCTTTTTGTTCCAGCGATGGCTTCCAAGATGGCGTCAAGAAGGCCGCCAAAGCCCACAAGATGGCACACAAGATGCACAGCAGCAAGATGCGATAGTCTTGGCTGCGAACATGAAACGTACATACATCCAGGCGCGCCGCCAGACAAGATGGCTCCAAGAGAGCCCCCAAGGCCTTCAAGATGGCCCCAAGAGGCCCAAACAGAGCCCCACGATGGCCCCCAGATGCCTCCTCGCGTCTCGAAGAGAATGACTGCATGCTGCTACACATCCCTGATCAGGTCAACTTGTCTGGTCATTGCTTTGGGATGAGCTGGTGGGAAAAAGCAGAAATTCAATGGTTGTTTCTTCGTGTTCGGCCTCTGGGGGCTCTCGCTGGGCCTCGGCACCATCAAAAACTACGCACAGTAAAAACTGGCCCTGGGGGAAGAGGTCGGGACTTCGGAGGAGCGCGTATTGACAAGATCAAGAACTCGCATGCCTGGGGTTACCAGCTGGCCGCAGCATTTCAAACCAGCCGCATCCACAGGCCGCCACAGCAGGCTAGGCAGAACGTTACTTCAACAAGACCCACGTGCTCAGGCAGCGGGTTTCACAACAGTTCCGGCGTCCCGCAACCGCTGCTGTGCTGGGCGATCCTGGGGGTGACGTGTGACCGGGCGCGCAGGGGATCATATGTGATGCCGCCTGCAGAAGGAGGGCGTGGAGGAGGAGGAGGAGGAGGAGGAGGAGGAGAAGGGGGGTGAGGAGGAGGAGGAGGCGGGCAAGATGGATTTCCATATCCACTGCGTCGTGGTTTGTCTGGGAAGGGGCGCCTAAAAGGCGGAGGCGCAGTGGATATGGATAAAGATCTAGCCTCTGGGTGTCAGAGCTTCATCCCTATCCGCTACGCCTCGGGGTTCTGGGGAGGGGACCCCGAAACTCCGAGACGCAGTGGACATGGATATTAATCGTGCCCGCAAAGGAGGAGGAGGAGGAGGAGGAGGAGGAGGAGGAGGAGGAGGAGAAGGAGAGGGAGGAGGAGGAGGAGAAGGAGAAGGAGGAGGAGGAGGATTTTGGTTTGGCGATCCCTGCGGGCACAATGTGTCGCGCAAAGCGTGCTGACCGCCCCCCCGGTCAGACTTCCCCCTCGGAGCTGTCGCCGAAAACCGCGTCAGCGGCCCAGGCCTCGCAGACGGCCTCGGCGTCTGCGTCCCCGTCGGCAGCCAGCAAGCCCTTCCACCCAAGCCACTGCCGGAGAGTGAGCCGGGTGGGGCGGCCGATGGCTGCTGCTGTGACTCGTGCCCGCGGGGCACGCCCAGCCGCGAGATTGGCTCGGCGGGAGGCGGTGCCGCGGGCCGAGGCGGCGATGCCGCCGCGGCAATTGCCAGCCAAGCCCTTGATGCGCATATCGGTGTGGCTGCCGCACCGTGCGCACCAGATGTAATCCCCGGTTTGCCACAGCCTGTGGCCCTTGACCGTCACGTACGGGCCGCGGTCGTCGATCATCAGGCGCGTAACCGCATGGCCAGCGCAGGGCTCCCGGTCGAGAGCCGCGCTTCGACCCTCCGTGCGCGCCACTCGGCGGCAGGCAGCGCACTGCTGACCAAAGGAGAAGGAGGAGGAGGAGGAGGAGGAGGAGGAGGAGGAGGAGGAGGAGGAGCAGGAGGGGGCCCAGGAGCAGGGAGAGGGGAGCGCCTGGAGCCGACTCGTTCACCATCGCACATCATGGGCACGACTCTCCCCTGCCTCCCGTGACTCCGACTGGAAGATCGCCGATTCGCTCCGCGCGCTGCTCTTTAACGCAAAGTGTTGGACAATGATGGTCTCTCCTATGGTGTCTCTGGATCCGATGGTTCTCGGTGTTTCAGCATGGTGTTCCCGCTGCAGCGTGGGCCTCACTTTCGGATCGGGGCTTTGCTCCTGTCGTTCAGAGTGGCGCTCTCGCCCCAGCGTTGGTCATTGTTATTGATCCGAGTCCGTTGTCATTGCTGTCGCCTCCCTCATTTCCCCTCCTCTGCCTTCCCTTGGTCCTCCTGCTCCTCCCGTTCCTTCTACTCCAGTTCCTGCTGCGGCTGCTGCTCGTCATCGTCCTGGTCCTTCCACCTTTTCTTTCTCTTCCTGCTGTCATCCTCCTGCTCACCCGCCACATATTCTTACTATGCACGCGGATCCCATTTTCCGGTTGCGCCTGACGTGACGGGGCTTTTGGTTGGAGTCCGAGGTCGGCCATGACACACGTCAGCGGATAGATAGCACAACACATCGAATGTGTCACAGGCGCACCCAGCTTGTTCTCCTCCCCTCTGCTCCTCCCCCTCGTCTTTCTTTCCCTCCCCCTCCCCCTCCCCCTCCTTTGGCTGCCCCATCCGTTCCCTCCCCTTTATAAGCAACACTTCCCTGTCGCAACCCCAAACGGTCGCCAGGGCGGGCCGAGCGTTTCGCCGGAGAGACCTCCTCACCACGTGTGATCCTGAAACTTGGAATGTGCAACCGATTCAGGGATGCAGCGCGGGCCGTATTCAAGATGTGGCTCTCGTGTGAGGAAGCGCAGTCGCACTCAAAACTTTCGGCGGCTTCAAGGATGGAGGGCGGGTCATTTTCAACATGTTTTTTTTCCCCCGCGGGGCGCCACGCACATGTGTGTGAATTGTTGTGCCGCCATTTCACGGATGGAGGGCGGGTAGATTTCACAATGTTGCTCTCGCCTGGGCGCCGCACACGCTCGTCTTACAATTTCGCAACCGCTTCAAGGATAGCTGTTCTTGTTCAACGCGTGGCTCACTGCTTAGCGCCGCGCGCATTCGTTGTGAAAGTTCGCAGCAGTTTCACGGATTCGCACGGTCGCAGACCCCAACTATTACGTTCTGGAAGTACTTCGGATTGTCTGGACGCAGCGGGGACGTAGATGGACGTGGATTCTCGGCGTCGGAGTCCCAATAATGGTGTCATGGCGCGGCTTCGGATGGTCCAGACGCAACTGTAACGTTGATTCGCGATGCTGAAGTCTCAGGAATTTTACTCTGGCACGATGGAGGGTTCCCAAACGCTTGTCTTCATATGGGGCATTTCCCGCAATGAAGATAAGTTCTTATTGGGCCTGGAGAGAGGGTTTCGTGCAACATCGGCGACGTCTGTTGAATTTACTCTGGGCCCTCTCCTCATCCCCCTCACCCCCCTTCCCCTCATCCCTCCTACTTTTACCCCCCCTCCACCTCCACCTCCAACTCCCAATTGTCCTCCCTCCTCCCGTTACTCCGCCTGCCCCCCACTTCGCACGCGCCCGCGCGCTCACTCACGCCGGCCCGGGACATCCGCGCGGACCTCCGACAACTTGGTACATACGGCAATTGCTTGTTTGCCCGACAACCGCACAGGCTGAAAGTCTGGGCCTCAAACGGCCTCGGAAGGCAACGCGAGGCCCAACGCTGGGCCATCCCGGCAATCCGCGGCTCGCGCCGGTCTTCCGCGCGCGCCGTTGGCCTCGGGGTTTCGGCCACAGTTCCGCGCAGACCGCGTTGAGCGAGGAAGGCACCTCTGCGATGCCAAAACAGCCCGCGGCGCGCGCGGGGGGGGGCGGCAAGGTTTTCTGGCTGCCACCCGTCGGGAACGGCCCTGGGCAACGGTGGCCTTTGGCGCGCGGATTTCGGGAGGCCCGGAACGAGTCCCCTGATTCTACCCAGTCTCTGGGAGCCGATCCGTGTGACGGGGTGCAATGTAGATGAGCCTGATCGCGGCCGCGAGGGTTGCCTCGTCGCCATCGCCGCCATTGCCGCCGTCGCAGTCATCTTCGCATCCACGGCGATGCCGTCTGTGGCCAATCTGGTTCAATCCTGATCTCCATGCTCCGATACAGAATGTTTGCCGGCCAAAGACAGAAAACGGGCCGCCCTGTTCGGGTTCCTCCTCCTCCTCCTCCTCCTCCTCCTCCTCCTCCTCCTCCTCCTCCTCCTCCCCCTCGTCCTCCTCCTGGTCCTCCTCCTCCTTGTCCACTGTCACTTCCTCCTTCCTCCTCTTCACCCTCCTCCTCCTCCTCCTCCTCCTCCTTCTCCTCCTTCTCATTCTCCTCCACCATCCTCCCCCTCTTGGCGTATCGGACGGCTTCCCCCGCCCTTTGTTCTTCTGCATGCCCACCCACTTCTGTGATCACCTCAACTCCCACGGGCATCGCTTCTGGATGGGCTCGTGGGGACGCGCGCAGTGCCAACCATTGGGCGCAGCGTCTCTTCGAGATCGCGCTGTCAGCACAGGCGCCAAGGGCTCTGGTTTGAGGTCGGGCGTGTCCTCCTACGGGCGCATTTTGGACGACAAATGGAACAAAAAGATCTAAACAAATGCTCAAAACTCTTCGATAAACATTAGAACATCGTCCCCTGACTATGGGTTGGCTATTTCTGATGGGGGGCCTCAAAATATACACCACCACCTCCACCACCACCACCTCCCTCACCCCCTCCTTCGCCCAGGAATGAGGAAAGGACGAGGAGGCTGGAGGAGAGAGGAGGAATCCACGTGGTGGTGGTGGTGGTGCATATTCTTCGGGCCCCCATCGGAATATATCCCTCCTGCAGAGGGACATGCCCGACTTAGCCTTGGCTTCTGCCAGCGCAGGCACCGCCCACGGTCGAGCACGGGCGCCCCTGGCGCAGGCGCGCCGGTCCTCAGGCGCAGGCAAGGCACCCCGCTCCGGGCTAGAGCGATAAAGAACAACAATATAAGCTCAGCTTGTTGTTCTTGCCTTCTCGTAATACATCTAAATATATATATATAGATATATGTGTATAACAAATGAACATGAACAAATCCCCACAGAAGGGGGCGCACGCGAACCTAGGGATTGCATCGACGCAACAGCCCCGACCAGGGCGTCGGGCCATCTGCGGGGGCGAGCGCCAGGCGGGAGAGGCTGTGGGGGGTGGGGGGGGCGCGGTCGGACCGCTGGGCGGGGCCCTCGGAGGGGTCGAGCGGGCCACGCAGGGCCGCGCCGCGGCGGTGGAGGCGGCTCGCACGCGCCCATCCCCCGCGCGCAGGAGGGCGTGAGAGCTTGATCCCCAGACCCCCTCGAGTCGCGAAAAAATCACGACGGGAGGTTTTTCGCTCGTTTCGGCCTCTGGGGGCCCTCGCCGGGCCTCGGCACCGTCAAAAAACGACGCAGGATGAAAAACCGGTCCCGGGGAAAGGGTCTGGCCCTCTGAGGGTCGAGTCGTGTCATGCAAAATCATGACGTCGGGGGTCTGAGTGCATGGCCCATGGAGCGTCTGTTACAGGCACAGACATGTAGCGGCAACGCTCTAATAAAGCAGATCAGATCGCGCCTATAATTAGGAAATCTGACAGACACTTGAAGACTGGGGGGGGGGCATCGAAGCGCGCAACATGGTGGTGGGGGGGCGGCGCCTGTGGGCCCGCACCAGAGGTCACCTTTGGCGACGGGTCACTGCGGGAAGCGCATCCGGAGATGATCCCCGAGGCCACCACTCCTTGAGCCCTTCCTGGGCAATGCGCTCTACTCCAGCCGTGGCGTCTGCGGCCCACAAGGAGGGCCCAAACAATCGGAGCGGGGCAAGTTGAGACAACGGCAGATCAAACTCGGCCACTCGGCCCCCAAGTCCCCCCCCCAATCCAAAGGCACCATTTTCACAGCTGCGCCCCAGCCGTGGAGACGAGGGCCCGCCCCGACGGCAAAGTACTGATATCTCAACTCGCCCTGTTCTGAACGATGGAAAATCGAGGGAGGGGTACCGGAATCGACTCATCATCTGCGCGCGAGGCGCGGTCACTGTGGCGCCCCCTGAAGGCTACCTGGCCCAGGGCCCGCGACAGGCCGGGCGAGCCGAGCGCGGCGCGCTGGTGCTTGAACTTCAGCGGCAGCTTGCGGCCGATGTCGATCATGAGCGCTTTCAGCTCGTGGCGCAGCTCGGGGTCCTGGTCCAGCTCCACCTCTCGGGCGCCCAGGCCCAAGGTTGAGCAGGGACCGACTGCCCTGGCATTTCCATAGGCCTACCACGACATGTTCTTGGAACCCAAACATGTTCTCAGAACAAGGATACTGTTCTTAGAACATAAACCAGACGTGTTTAAACAAGACAACCTAGGCCAGACATGTTCTTGGAACATCGCGTGCAGGCCACATAAGGTTCTTGGAGCATTCTTTGGTGGGCCTACTAGGCCAGCCAGGACGCCTCGCCACTGCTTGACAAGACGCCCTGTGAACGACTGGAAAGGCGTCGGCATGCGCACACGCAGCCCCCCGTCCGGTCCCGGCTGGCCTCCGCAGGGCCCCCCCGAGTAGCCGTGGGCGGTCTCGACACCCTGGCGCCGCGCCGTCGGCTTGTCCCACCTCTTGTTGTCGATGTGTTGTGTGCCATGTTCCGACGCCGCTCCTCCTGTCTGGTCCTTTCGCAGTTGCTGCTGGTCTTGTTCTGGTTCTGGTTCCGACTCTGGCGCTGCTTCTTTTCCGTTGCGGTGGGCTGTCTTTTTGTAGCGTTTCATCCCCAAGAGCCTGACATTCGGAAACGGTGGAAACATGGTCCTGCCATTACGAGGGCCCACTGCGCGCCGGGGGTGGGATCGGAGGAGGGCCAGCTGAGACAGTGGAGGCTCCCCTGCCTGGAGCCGACGAAGACGCCCGCAAGCCCCCCCAGACGTGCGACGTCCTGATTGTTTCCATGTGTTTCCCATGCGCGGTTCCCCAGAGCCCCGACCCTCCCCCGGACCGGTGTCTCATCCCGAGTCGCTTTTGTTGAGGGTCCTGGTGCCCAGACGGGCACCCAGAAGCCCAAGACCAGAGGCCTCCTAGATGGGGCCCAAGTAGAAGCGATCGGAGGATTGCACCGCATCGCCGAGTTATCGTCGATGCATCGGCGATAATTGCATCGGCGACACTAGCGAGGAGAAAATCGGTTTCCGCATGGAGCCGCATCGCCGATGCATCGGCGATGTATCTGCGCGATCCCCCGACCCCATCTACTCGGACCCCATCTGGGAGGCCTTGGAATACGGCCACACACCTCCCGTCCTGGTTTCTCTAGGGCGCGAGCATGTCTGGGTCTACGTCCCCCAAACCCCGACGTCATGATTTGTCCATGATGCGACCCCCAGAGGTCTGGACCCATTCTCTGGGACCAGTTTTTCATCCCGGGTCGTTGTGTGACGGTCCCGAAGCCCGGTGAGGCCCCCAGAAGCCGAAAATAGCGAAAAACCCTCCGTCGTGATTTTTTCATGACCCGAGGCCCGGTGAGGCCAGAGGCCGAAAATAGCGAAACACCTCCCGTCGTAAATGTTTCACGACGCGAGGGGGTCTGGGCCTACGTCTTTTCTGTGCGCCGCGGGCCTTGCGCTCCTCAGGGGCCTGCCTCGCATCCCCCGCGCCGCGTCTGCGACGGGCAACCGCCGCCCCTGGTCAGGGCCCCCAGGAGCACGAGGCCACGAGATGTCTCCAGGCCCCCGGGAGGAGGAGGAGGAGGAGGGGAGGCGAGAGGCGTTCGGCTGGCCCTCCTCCTCCTCATCCGCCGCCTCCTCCTCCTCCTCCTCCTCCTCCGCCTCCCCTCCACCTCATCCCTCCTCCTCCTCCTCCTCCTCCTCCTCCGCCTCCCCTCCTCATCCTCCTCCTTCTCCTCCTTCTTCCTTTCTTCCTTCCTTCCTTCCTGCGTTCCTTCCTTCCTTCCTTCCTCCACGCCTCCTCCTCTTTCGAAGGTGGCCGCATGCCCACCTCGGGGCCCCCTTCTGGGCCGCGTTCCGGGACGCTGACATCCCGGCAGTCAGGACAGCTGCGCATTGTTCTGTGGCAGAGGTCCACAGCGATAAGACAACGATGTGGGAAAAGAAGACCAAAGACTGGGCCGACCAATGTGCTGAATTCTGTGCCCGCAAGCACTCTGTCAAGCAGCCAAGAATCGGGCGTTGGCAGAACTGAGTTTAGTGGGACCTGGTTCAGTGATGTGTACTGGGGAACGCCGCCCGCCCCGTTTCACTGACCGGAACTGCCGTCACCCGAGAAAAACCAGCTACGGTAGACCTGGTTTAGTGATTCTGGCCAATTTAGGGGCTCCAGGGCCCTACCACTAACCGGGTCCCCTTACCTGGGGTCCTGACTACACCCGAAAGAAAGTCGATCTAAGGCTCTCGCCAGAGAATCTGCCCGATGGGGAGCCCAATCGGAAGTCCATCTCCAGTCGGTTGATCAGACGCGGTTGGACACGATTGGGCTCTGGACCCCAGTTCGCATGCTGTCGCAGACGCCTCTGAGCCTCGGCCAGAGCCCGAGCCGTCTGAGGATGAGTCGGGTGGGGCGGGAGTGGCTTCTACGGGGCGGGGGGGATGTGTGCAGGATTGGGCCGACCTGGCCACATCAGGATTCTACGTGAATGGCCATCCCCTCATGCGCTGCGGGATTGAGGGCCCTCAGCGTGAAGGGGCGGTGACAGGTGTCTGCGTCCCCTGCGGAGGATGCGTGGTGTGAGGATCTCAAGCCTGGGCCGACCCTGCGCGGCGGCCGCATCGGACGCCGAGGCTCGCCCCGTTAGACCGCCTCCCCGCTTCGCCGTGTCCCGCGTGGCCTCCGCCCCCACGGCAGGGCCAGCACCGGGCCTCTGGTCCTCCGTGCCCCGCACGGCCCAGGACCCGCCGAGCGGGGCCGCGTGGCCGTGCGCGCCCTCTCCCCCCCGCCGTGCCGCCGCCGTCCGTCCCAGGGGGAGCCGCGGGTCCGAGGATGCGCGCCTCGGGCCGCGGTCCCGAGCGCCTGAGGCCTCCAGGAATCAGATGAGGATGCTTCCGATGTTGATGGGCCTTTTAGGGCTTTTTAGCGCTGCTTCCCTGACTTGACTTTGGGTCGCTCCCCCACAAGCTCCTCCTCCCTCCTCCTCCTCCTCCTCCTCCTCCTCCTCCTCCTCCTCCTCCTCCTCCTCCTCAATCCTCCTCCTCCTCCTTCCTCCCTCCTCCTCCTCCTCCCTCCTCCTCCTCCTCCTCCTCTCTCCTCCTCCTCCTCCTCCTCCTCCTCCTCCTCCTCCTCCTCCTCCTCCTCCTCCTCCCCTCCTCCTCCTCCTCCTCCTCCTCCTCCTCCTCCTCCTCCTCCTCCTCCTCATCCTCCCTCAATCCTCCTCAATCTCCTCCTCCTCCTCCTCCTCCTCCTCTTCCCTCGTCCTCGTCCTCCTCCTCCTCCTCCTCCTCCTCCTACTCCGTACCGACTTGTGTGTGCTCTCTGGGCTGCAAGCTGGCGCTCGTCGATGGCCGACGACGGGGCGAGAACCTGGAAACGTCATCTTCCTCCGCGCCCTCCCCCGCGTGTTCCTCCCACTCCGGGGGGGACCCGTGGGAGTCCCTGAAGGCCTCGCCTCCGCCGAGAGACTTTCGAGAGTCTCCAGAAGACCTCTGGGGACCTCCGAGGAGGTTTCAGGCGCATTCCCCGTGTCTCGCTTTTACCCCATCGAACTCCGACCTCCTGATCCTTCCTCTATCCTTTCTTCGCCCTCATCCTGGCCCTCTTCCTCGTCGTCATCCTAAGGCTCCTCCTTGACCTCGACGTCCCCCTTCCCCCCGACATCGACGCCCGCTTGGCCCTCGTACGTCTCTGACTAATCTCAATCCTCGACCTCGCCACCTCTTCGCCCTCTGCTTCCTCCTTGTATTTGTGATGCAACTACTTTGAGCTCATACGTCGCGCCAGGTGTACCCAAGCATGGAACACCATCCCCATTAGAACAGGCAGACTGCGGGAAACGCTATCTGCGCGTCGCGCGGGGCATCTGAATGATGCGTGCCAACACTCCTCCAAGCAATGCATCCGTGGATCTGGCGCAGGTGCGCCGGATCCACGGACCGGGGAAGCGTGTCCCCCGAAGCAGGGTGGCCACAGCCGCCCGACTGGCGACGCCGCGCTCCGATTCTGTAGGGAAGAAGGGGCCGCCGCTGATCCACGCGCCTTCGTCCATGCCTGCGCTTCCTGGACCATTCCTGAGCATGCGAGCCTCCTCCACCTCCTCCTCCTGCTCCTTTTCGACGGTGTGCAAACTTTGGGACGGAGCCTGAAGCGTACGCGCGTGAAACAAAAAACACCGACTTCGGCCCGCAATAGCAAATTAGACCTGGCCGGCGCAGCAGTAAAAGGACAGGCGTAACAGGGGAAACAGTAAGGCAATGGGCCCGCAAAGGCCAAGAGCATGCGGCAGCCAGGCTGTGGGGGAGAAGGGGACCGAACTGGTACGACACGATTGCGCTTGGTGACCTTCATAAGATAATTCGAGCATCCTCATCCTCCTCCTCCTGCTCCTCCTGCTCCTACTCCTCCTCCTCCTCCTCCTCCTCCTCCTCCTCCTCCTCCTCCTCCTCCTCCTCGACCGTCCTCGACCTCCTCCCCTCCTCCTCCTCCTCCTCCTGACTCCCCCTCCCCCTCCTCCTCCCTCGGCCTCCTCCTCCTCCCTCGCTCCTCCTCCCCCTCCTCCTCCTCCTCCTCCTCCTCCCCTCCTCCTCCTCCTCCTCCTCCCTCCCCCTCCTCCTCCTCCTCCCTCCTCCTCCTCCTCCTCCTCCTCCTCCTCCTTCCTCCTCCTCCTCCTCCTCTCCTCCTCCTCCCTCCTCCGCTCCTCCTCCTCCTCCTCCCTCCTCCTCCTCCTCCTCCTCCTCCTCCTCCTCCTCCTCCTCTCCTCCTCCTCCCTCCTCCTCCTCCTCCTCCCAATCCTCCTCCTCCTCCTCCTCCTCCTCCTCCTCCTCAATCCTCCTCCTCCTCCTCCTCCTCCTCCGTAGCCATTTTGGCTCAAGCCCTTTCGCCTCGAGGGTTCTGAGGTTGGCCGGGCGCACTTCGAAGGGGCTCAGCTCGGCCGAGCCATGGCTTTGCAGGTGTTGCGATGATCAAGACCCGCCAAAAGAAGGAGACCCAGGCCGTGAAGCATTGGATCTTCGGCAAGGTCATCATTCTGAAGGCGAATGTGACCAAGGCCTGGAATAATAGGGTCTTCGGCAAGGTCGTCATGGTAAAGGGCGTCGGGATGACCAAGACCCGCCAGGTCAACATGAGGGCGACCAGGTTCGGGGACCATTGGATTTTCGACAAAATCGCCATGGTGCAGGCGGGCAATATCATCCCGAGCGTTGTGATCATCAAGATCCGCCAGAAGAAGGCGACCAAGGTGTGAAGCCCATCGAGGGCTAGTTTTGAGAGGGGGGCGGGCGGGCCTAGGGGGGGGGGAACCGCTCGCTGCCCCTTCCCCGACGCGTCTCGGGCCGTCCTGGGTCCGGGGCCTTTTGGTGGCCCCCTCGCGTTGCTTTTGGCCCTTTGTGGGCCGCTGCTGGGCCTTGGTGGCTTGGCGTGCCGCGTCGGGCGCAAGGGTCGGGTGCGGTTCGTCCTCCTGGCCGCGGCCGCGTGGCAGGGGCAGGGAGAACCTGCCCGCATCATCAGATCCCTCAGATCCCTCCTCCTCCTCCTCCTCCTCCTCCCCCTCCTCCTCCCCCTCCTCCCCCTCCTCCTCCCCGTTGTCGGGCCTCGTGCCCGCCGCTTCTCCGCGGGCTCGGGGGCTCCGGGCTCCGGCACCCAGACTGCCTCATCAGCGACGGGTCCGCGGGGCTCGTCACGACCTTGCACGTTGCTGCGCGGGAAGGGGGTCGGGCCGGGCGAAAGGGGGGGGGGGACAGCAAAGGGGGGGTCTGAGAATCAACTCACGTGGCTGATTTTCCCGGCGCCTCCCGGCGCCAGAGACGGCTATGTATCGAGGGATGGGCCCCTCGGTTGGGCCGAAACCAGCTGCATGCAGCAGATTTCATAACTCCCCCTTCCCTAATTCTCTTCTTGCGTCTGGCCCGAGGGGAGCGAGCAGAGGAAGAATCACCCCTCCCTTGAGCTCAGGATCCTCCCTCCTCCTCGCAGTCAGCCCGAACAAGGACGCACGATGAGGACGCACGGGCCTTGCGCATGCGGCGCGGGGGGGGAGCGAGCAGAGCAAGAATCGCCCCTCCGTCAAGGGGACCAAGAGTGGAACCCCCTTGTCGTCGATACCAAAAGTTCGTCCCCCTCAGGCCCTCTCCCTTCCCCCGACTCAAAGTTGGGCTCCAGCGTGGTGGAGGCCCTGGGGGTGCCACTTGTTCTGTCCTTTCGAGCCTGCGCTCTTGAATGTCTGGGAGCAACTGTGAATGTGGGGGGAGGGGAGGGGGCAGAGTCAAGGGTTTCACTTTGTTGTCCATCTACGGTCCCTCAGGGTCCTCCCTCCTCCTCGCAGTCAACCCGTAGAACAAGGACGCACGATGAGGACGCACGGGCCTTGGGAAGGCCACGTCGACACTCTGCGGGCGGGGCGCGGCCAGCGAGCGCGGCCAAGGATGGACGGAAGGGGCAAGGATGCAAGGGTAACCCTGGAAAGTTGCTTATCCTTGCCATGCGGGTTGACTGTACCTCGAAGAAGAACAAGCTGCGTGAACGATAATTTTCCAAGCTCTGCGCGGATTTCTTGGATCGGGGCTGTGACCCCCTCCCCGGCGGGCCCCGCGCGCCAGAGGCGGCGCCGGAGGGACGCCGCCAGCGGGGCCCAGCACCCATCCAAGAAATCCGCGCGAGCTCCGAGAGGTTCTGATGCTCATGCAGGTCTTTCTTCGAGCGCGGGAGAAGGGAGGACTCTGTGAGGCCTGGTCCTTCCCCGCCGTAGATTCCCGAGAGGGCGGAGACAGGCCGGGGGGACACAGGCGTCGTGCGGACGAGCTCGGGTGCAGCGGACAGGGGGGCCGATTGGCAGGCACGCCTAGTCGAGGGAGAGGCGCCTCCACCCACGCTGCGTGGATGGCCAGACATCTGGACTTGCAGTTGTTTCTCATTCGGTGAGAGGACGAGGAAGAGAGACTACGCCGCAAATCTGTGTGCATAGATCTATATGTGTAAATTTGTATACACATATATAGATCTACTAAAACCACCTGCGCGCTTCGCGCACTGAGGTTCTAGCTAGCAAATCTTGGTCGCCTCTTGGGCCTTCTTCAAAGCCGTGAAGGCCGAAAAGTCGCATATGATAAAGACGTACGTTTCCCCCTCGGAATTCAAAGATTGTGGCTTCTTGGGGCCTCCTGGGAGTGCTCTTGGAGGCCTCTTGGGACGCCTGGGAGCCTTCTTGAGCCGTCTTGGGGCCATCTTGGGCCGTCTTGGGCGACTGAAGGCGTTCTCGGGCTGTCTTGGGCGCCGTCTTGGGGCCAACTAAGCCGTGTTAGGCGGCCCTTGAGCCGTCTTGGCGCCCTTTTCCCTCCTCCCTCCTCCCCCCTCCCTCCTCCCCTCCTCCCTCCTCCCTCCTCTCCTCCTCCTCCTCCCTCCTCCCTCCTCCCTCCTCCTCCTCCCTCCTTCCTCCTCCTCCTCTCCTCCCTCCTCCTCCTCCTCCTCCTCCTCCCTCCTCCCTCCTCCCTCCTCCCTCCTCCCTCCTCCCTCCCCTCCTCCCTCCTCCCTCCTCCTCCTCCTCCTCCCCCTCCTCCTCCTCCTCCTCCTCCTCCTCCTCGTCCTCCTCCTCCTCCTCCTCCTCCTCCTCCTCCTCCTCCTCCTCCTCCCCGCCCATTTTGGCTCAAGCCATTTTGGCTCAAGGCTTTGTGTTCCACAGTGGAACAAGTGGATACCGCTAGTCCGCGGCAGTGCCAGAGCGCTTGCGCTCGACGTCTTTCTTTTGCCAGTACCGCAGGGGCTTCTGGCGGCCCAGCTCGGTACCCCTTTCAGTGCTGTGAGCTCCTGTCGGAGCGTGCATGCCATGCCGTGGACGTGGACTTCTGCGGAGCGTACCCCTCCCTGGCGTGCTAAAGGTGATCCGCAGCGCCGTGATGCTGGTCGCCGTGTCCACAAGCGTCGCCGTGACGGTGAGGTTTCCCCCTACGCCGTCTGCAGCAAGTGCGGGCACTGGGAGTACCTCTTTCATGGTCACACTGCGTGCAGCCGTTGCAGTGGATCATATGTCATGCGCAATAAGACTACGGGTGAGTCGAGTGCGGCGGTCGACTCACAACCTCTCGATTTGTCAGGTCAAGCAAGTGCTGCAGTCGCTCAGTTTCCTGGCCTACGAGACGTGCTTGCGAAACACCTACCGCCTCCACCACCGCCAAACGTCCCGTCCGATGCGCAGCTGGACGCAGCGGTGGCTGGAGAGCGGACCGCCTTGGCGAAGGGCGTGGAGGAGGCTGCCAAGGCTGAGCGCTTGGCCTGGCAGAGTCGCTCTGAACGTCAGGAGGCCTTGCTTAAGGCCCGTGAGAAGGTCAAGCTGGCCGAGGCTGCCTTTGCCGAAGCCTCATCGCACCTCGAGGTCGCCCAGTCCGCCCACACCGTCGCCAAGGAGAAGAAGGACAGGTTCGACGAGGCTGCGTTCAAGAAGCCGAAGATGGAGGCTGCTGCGGCTGCTCAAGCTGCTGCGCGGCCCCCTCCTGCTGGTGCAGACGGCCTACCTGGTGGTGAACCTGGAGGCGCTCATGGCGTTTCTGGATCAGGTCTTGCACCCGAAGATGCCCGTGAAGTTCTTGGTAAACTACATACTTTGGGAGATGATGACCTTCGGAAGCTCGCCGACAGTACCAAGGTCCCCTTCAGCGAGTGGTGCAACCTTCGCACCGCCCAGCTCGCGGCTCACAACGTCCTCAGCTCGGTCTCTCCTGGTTCCTCGGCGCCCACGTCGCCTGCTCCTGGCGAGGCTGGCGCTGACGCGGGTGCAGATGCGGCGATGGGCAGTGCGAGTGGTGAGGATGGAGGTGAACATAAGGCTGTTCCTGTCGACGATGATGACGATCTTCTTGGCGAAGCTGATCGGCAGGAGCTTTCTGAGCTTCGCAAGCGTTCTGCGGAGCAATGTAAGCCTGAGGACCTTGAGAGGTTGGAGACCCTCCTGGTCAAAAAATTTCATGTGCAGGCGCATAAGAAGCTCAAGGTGGCTACTTATGCTAATGATATGTGGGTTAATGCTTTTGCCCACCTGGCAGCCCCCCAAGTTGTGCAAGGCGCGTCGTTGGTTTGACGAGTCCCTGGGGCGGCGATGGCAGAGGGTTGACGGGCGTTCGACTATCGATGTCAAGTTCTGCAACGTTTCCAGCTGGTCTGAACTGGCCAAGTCTGAACTTGCCAGAGCTGTTGAGGATGTCGACGTTTACCTCTTTGCCGAGCACCATCAGGGACCCGACAAGCTACAGGCCGCCAAGAGAGACTGCTCATCTATGGGATGGCGCCCGCACTTCCAAGCAACCCTTCCTTCGCCTGGCGGAGGATGGCACGGTGGTGTCGGCGCTGTCGTGCAGAAGGCGGTCTACTGCAAGAAATTCCTACGCAGTCTCCCAGCTGGGGTCGAGAACGTGGGCCAGGGGCAGAGTTGGTTTTTCCTGGAAATGAAGACGCAGCATTGTACGCTCGCTCTGGGAGTTATTTATCTTGTCTCTGGGATTGGAGCTTCAGGTATAAACCTCGACCGTCTCCATGAAGTGGTCGAGTTCCTGGGGATGCTTGAGTGCCCGTGGATCCTCTTGGGAGGTTTCAACATGGAGCCCCTCGAGTTGCATCAGTGCGGATTCTGTGAGGTTGTCTCTGGCGTCACGGTGGACCCCCGCAATACTGACTTTACCTGTGACAAAGGCACTGGCCGCTGATCGATTATGCTGTCGTGTCGCGGGACATCCGCCCATACCTGACGATTGACGCGGATTGGAGCTCCGCTTTTAAGACGCACGCCTGCTTGCATGTGCAGATGTCGCTCGAGGTTCTCCGTGACACCGTGATGAAACGTGATCGACCAGTTCCAATCGGGGCCCACCCTGGGCCTGATCAGCGTTGGAGTGATTTTGTCCACCGTGCTGGTGACCAAGTTGTGGAGATACCTCGCGAAGTCCGTGGAGCCTTCCTCGAGTTTCACTGGCCCCTACACTCGCAAGGACTCTCGGAAGCCTATCAAAAGTGGTCTACTGCTGCGGAAATGCTGTTTTGCCCCCGCTCCCTCTCCACCTGGCCTTCGCCGGGAGGGCGCAGGGGCAGAGCAGTAGTTGCGCAGGAGCGGACCCTTCCCAAACGAGGAGTGATGAAGCAAGGTTTCTCCCACCCCTGCCTGGCTTTTTGGGCGCTGATATCGCCCCGCCTGTATGATTTTGCTGTCGCATTGAAGAGAGGAAGCACCACCCAGGTCACCGCTCTCAGGACTCTCCTCCGAGCGCGCGGTGACGAGGTGGGGCTACACCTTGATGGCCTTGCCGATGCACGGCAAGCTGCTGTATGGACAGGGTGGTTGCAAGATATTCCAGGCGACCCTCGGAAGCTCGAAGTCATCCAAGAAGCTCTCGTCCCCGTCCTTCGTCGCGCGTGGACGGCAGCTCGGAAAGCTAATCGCCTCGGTATCCAGGCCTGGCTCTCCAAGGGACTTGCGGGGGGAGCGAAAGTGGTCCACCGTTGGTTACGTTCTGATGCCAAGAAGGAGGTTGAGATGTTTGTTACTCCCACTTTCGTTGCCCAAACCCCCCAAGAGTTGATGAGATATCGCGAGCAGTTTTGGGCGTCCTGGTGGACGCCTACGAGTAGGCAAGTCTGTGATCTCAAGTATGCTATGCAACGCCTCCGACCTGTCGCTGAGCTTGAGTCGCTTGAGGCTCGCGGCATTGAGGGCCAAGACGTGCTCACGGCTTGCAAGTGTTTCTCGGCCGACACGGCCCTCAGCGTGGACGGGTGGTCCCCTCGTGATTTGATGCGGCTCCCTGGTGAAGCCCTGGATCACTTGGCCACCATTTTTAACGGCATCGAGTATGCCCTTGAGTTCCCCCAGCAAGTCTACCTTTGTCTGGTCACCCTCCTGCCCAAAACGTCCACGTCTGAAAGACCCATCACTAAGTGCCCCACCCTCTACCGACTGTATACCCGAATCCGCGGGGACAAAATCCAAGACTGGACCGATTCCCACGTCGCCTTCTGGGATGCGGCTGTGAAGAACTCATCGGCCCTGCGGGCCGCCATGCTCCGTGAGGTTTTGCGCGAGTGTGCTCGGGTGGAGGGAGTGTTTTCTGTTTCTGGCCACTGGGATATGGAGAAGTTTTTTGACACCATCGACCCAAGTAAGCTCATCGGCTTGGCTCAGGCTGTCGACTACTCCTCCTTGCTCCTCTACCTGGGCCTCCTGATCCACACCTCCCCCAGGCTCCTCGAGGTCCAGTCCCTGGTGTCGGGTGTGATGCAGGCTGGCCAGTCCATTTTAGCTGGATGTTCCCAGTCCCTGCCATGGATAAAATGTTATCTCTACGACATCTTGGAGGCGGCACATTGTCGTGTCCCTCGTGTCCCGATTTCGGCGTATGTGGATGACCTTACCCAGTGCATCCAAGGCTCTGTGCAGGACATCATTACCAAACTGGTGCCAGCTGCGCGAGAACTTTGTGATGTATTGAAACGTCGTGGGTGTAAGATCTCGTCGAAGTCGTGTGTCGTCGCCTCTTCTCGGCAAGTTGGTCGCCCTTTTCAGGCTCTCTGTGATGAGCTGAACATTCCGCTTAAAGTTGTTGATTCTGTGAAGGACTTGGGAGTTGGGACCACGGCGGGGAGGAGGAGGACGATGTGGAGAATGACTCAGCGCAAGGAAGAAGCTAGGCTTCGCAGTAAGAGGCTCACGTTTCTTTCTCATGTTAATCGTCGTGCTCGCAAGTTGTTTAAGCCAGGAGTGGTCGCTGTTGGCACATGGAGCCATCAAGTCCTCGGCACTCCGCCCTCGCGCATGCGTTCTCTTCGTGCCCAGGCTGCTAAAGCGACAGGACGATGGCATGCAGGCTGTTGTACCACTACCCTCCTTGCTCTTGATCATGCTATGTCTGATGACCCAGCGTATAAGATTCGATTTGAACATCTCTTGGAATGGAGCCGAACCTACCGTGTCCTCGACCCTAGCCAGGTTTGTAGCGTGAACAAAGTGTGGCCCAAGTTGTTAGCTAAGCTGCGACGTGTTCCGCCTGTTCACCGTTGGCGTCATGTGCGGGGCCCCATCGCGTCTGTCATCATGTGTGTCTTGGAGCTCAATGGGAACCCACTGGGGCCCTGCACGTGGAGATTCCCTGATGTTACCCTCCATGTTGATCGACGTGATTTCCCGTTTTTTTTTTTTGTGGAAGACGGTTGAAAAACAAGTGGGCAGTATGCTTTGGGTCCAAGCCTCTGGGGCTTACGGGGGACAGGGTCTGCATGAAGGTGTTGGTTTTACTGTGTTGCGTAGGCTGCGGAATTCGCTGTCTCGGCAAGGCGACCTCGACGGCGTTGCTATTTTGAACCACCTCGCCTCTGGTGGCCAGTGGCCAGAGCAACGCCTCGAGGACAGCGGCTATCTCAGCAATGGTGTATGCCCTCGTTGTGGAGTTCGCCAGGAGACACCTTGGCACAGATACTGGGGCTGTCAAGATAATGCGAATATTGATGACGACCACATACACCTCACTAACCATATGTATGAAGATTCCCTCGTTGGTGTTCCTGAATCGGAGTGTTTCTGGACTCGTGGCCTGGTTCCCCTGGGCTGGACGGTTGGAGTGTTGCCCCCCGTTGAAACTAAGGTTTGGGCCTGGGGATCCTTTCATGAGGCGCTTCGTGAAGGTGTACCGATTCATGGGGGAATATTTGGGAGTGACGCTTCTGGAGGAGAACATACGAAGGATTGGAGGTTGAGGAGATGCGGGTGGTCTGTTGTTCACCTTCAACCAGGGACCCTCCAGGTGTCAGGCGTGTTGTGTGGAACCCTTCCTGGAGCCGAGCAAAATTCTCCCCGTGCTGAATTGTATGCTGTGATCCAGCT